TTTCTGTCTTGTTCCTGATCTTTGGTTAAAGCTTTTAGTCGAGTATGATGCTAGCTGTGGGCTTTTCATAAATACTCTTTTCTATGTTGAGGAATTTCCCTTCTATTCCTAGTTTGCTCAGTGTTTTTATCATCAAAGGGTGATGGATTTTATCCAAAACCTTTTCTGCCTCAATTCAGATGATATTTTTTCCCCTTTATTCTATTAACGTGGTGCATTGCAGCCATTGATCTTCTTATGTTGAGCTATCCTTGCATTCCAGGGATCAATTTGTTCATAGTGCATCATCTTTTAATGTGCTGTTGGATTTCACGGTTGGAATCTGTCACTTGGCAGCCATGAGGAGGGTGGATCAGGTCCCCTGTCAGCTCCCAACATCAGCTCTTCTGTCCTCCCAGCCTTTGTTCTATCCTGAAACAGTCCCAACTCCCTCCATGACAGGTCACGCCCAATGGCATCTTGCCTCTCAAAATCTGCTACCACAGGGCCTTTGCACATGCTGGCCCCTCTATCCAGAACACCTGCCCTCGACTCTGCCTGGCAGACATCTCCCCTTCCCCATTACAGTCGCCTTGCTGGTGGCCTCTTGCCAAGTCTGTGCCACACCAACCATGTTTGTAATTGTACTGTTTCTGGTGCCATGCATGCTCTCCATGTGGCTTCCCAGCTGAACTCTGAGTTGCATGAGGGCTGACCAAGTTCGTTGTGTTACCTGCAGACACCTCCAGCCAGCTGTCACCTCAGCAGGCCCTGGCTGCCTGCTCCCCTACAGTGAGCAGGAAAGGTCCAGAGTTCCTTGGACAAGGACCGGGAGCCCAGTGTCCAGCAACCACTCAGGGGATGCCCTGCCCCCACCCAGGACCCTGTCTCGTCTGTTGAACAGAGGCCAGCTCTGTATTACTTTATTGAGCAACAGTGGGGTGGACGTGGACAGCTGGGTTCGGGGCTCGAGGGCCTGGGTCACTTCCTGCAGGAGACAAACATACAGAGCCTGGGGGATCAGCCAGGAGCAGGTTAAGCCTGCAGCCACCCCAGACACTCACTTGTGTCTGTGCACTCATAGGGACAAAGACAATGACTGTTGAGAAAGAGCAGGGGATCCCCCCCCTGCCCACCCCACCTGGAAAAGTGTGACAGAGCTGAGGACGGGGTCTTAGAATGAATATCAGGACAGCTGGGTGCCATAGCTCAGCCTAGACACCACCACCACCCTGGGTCTGAATGCTGGGCCCTGATGCAGGGCCAAGGCATTCAGCCCTGGTACTTGAGGTACTAGGGAGCCATGGAAGAAGTTAGAGAGGATGTCAGGCAGGGAAAGCTGGATGAGGGAGAAGGGGCTGAGGTTGGCATTTCAGGTGGACCTCTGGGGCAGGGCCCTGAAACCTGAAGCTCCCAATGTGCTCCCAGCCAACTCTGGGACTACGGGAGAGCAGTGCCAGTGGCCAGAGGTGGGCCTCCTCCAGGCAGCCCTCAGGATGGAATGGCCCTGGGTCCTTCTTGGGCTTCCACCTGGACCTAGGGTGCATTCCACTCTGCCACCGCAGGCCCAGCTTTGGGCAGGGGCTGACTGGGGCCTGGCTGTGGGCAGCACAGGGGTTGAACATAGTCAGTCCACAGTCTTTGCTGAGCACCTATCACCTGCCGAGAGCTGCAAACTCCTCATGCACTGGGACATGTGCCCCACCCTCCTTGGAGGGGTGGGCCGTCAGCGTGGGAGCCCGTGTCAGGAGAGGAGGTGGCGGGGATCTCAGACGCTGCCCAGGAGTGCTGCCCGAGCTCGGGACCACTGCCCAGCCTCTGTCCCATCTCCCTGGGTTCCTTACTGGGGACAATGCCTTGAGCACAACACGGGCTGCTTTCTGGGTCTTGTCCACAAGCACAGTGACCATGAAGTTAAACTCCCTGTGGGTCGGGCTGCAGGCCATGCTGCCCCTGTCCCAAAGGACACTGTCTCCACTTCACGGGGGAGGAAAGTGAGGCTCAGGAGAAGCAATCTGCCTGGAGCCTGGAAGTGGTGGGATGTCACAAAGGGCCACCTCCTGCAAGGTGCCAGTGAGGTCCTGGTACAGCCCTGTCAGGTGCTGCTGGAAAATGAGGCTACCTCATGTCCACACATATACACAGACACACTCACAGACACACACAGATACATGCACACACAGATACACACTGGGATACACACACAGATACACACTGGGATACACAGACACCTACAGCCATAGTCACACACACACACATTCACAAACACACTCACACACAGACACACTGGGGTACACAGATACCCAGACACACACACACACACAGTCAAAAGCACACAGACACGCACACAGATACACTCTGGGATACACATCCTCACAAAGACACACATATACAGACACGCACACAGATGCACTTACACACACGTGCACACATGCATGGTGTGCACAGTTTAGGGCACCCTGACCCTTTGCTCTAGGTCTTGGCAGTTGCTGTGTTCTTCTCCCCGCCCTCATCCTACTGTGGCTGCCGTGGGCCCACAGACTAACGTCCAAAAGGATCCAGGGCCCCATGGCAGCCTGCCCCCACCTCCCCACCTCTGCCCACAAAGACCCCACTCTTCAGGACCCGCTCCTCGACTTCAGGCACCAACGGAGTGTCTCCGCCCCCGGAGCAGACACTGGCCCTCCGTGCGTGTCTGTGCTGCGTGGCGGTGGGGGGAATCCTTGCGGGGGTGGTAGTCTGGGGGGGGGCACAGGTAGTCCCCAGGCCCTCGTGGGTCCCCCACGTGAGCCCCGAGCCACAGACCCCGGGGCAGGCGGAGGCTGGTGGAGGGTGGGCGGCCCCCAAGCCCACGCTGTCCCCACTCTGCAGGATGGACCCCTTCGCGGACACGCTGCGGCGGCTGCGGGAGGCCTTCAGGTCGGGGCGGACGCGGACAGCCGAGTTCCGGGCCGCGCAGCTCAAGGGCCTGGGCCGCTTCCTGGAGGAGAACAAGCAGCTTCTGAGAGACGCCCTGGCGCAGGACCTGCACAAGGTGGGCGGGGCCGGGGGCGGGCCGGGGCGGGGCCGAGGGGCGGGGCGGGGCCCGAGGGACAGAGCCTGGACCGGAGGCAGGGGCGGGGCCTGGATCGGGGGGCGGGGCCAGGGGCGAAGTTTTTTCTCCCTAGGCCTGCCCTTGCCTTCCCAGAAGCACCCCTGGGGTCCCCCTGTCCCCTTGGGGAGGATCTGCACCCCCAGTGCTGACTGGCTGTCCCCTCAGTTAATTCCCGTTTATTGAGCAGGCCCTTACCTGGTGCACAGTACCTGCCAGGCCCCAGACGAGATTAGTTCATTAACACAGCCACAATTCTGGTCCCCCGTGTCACAGATGGGGAGGCCCACGGGGGTTAAGTCACTTGGCCAAGGTCACACAGCCAGTGAGTGGCAGAGCCCGCACTGGAACGCAGACCCACTGGCCTGTGCTCCTGGCCCCCGATGGGCAGAACCTCCATCTCCACTGCTCGGTGACTTACGCTGCCCTCCCCCCTCCCCGGGCCCCTGCTGTGGACACTAACACACATCCCGCAGTCGTCCTTGGAAGCAGATGTGTCAGAGATCATCATGTGCGAGAATGAGGTCAACCTGGCCATGAAGAACCTCAGCTGCTGGATGAAAGACGAGCCGGTGTCCACCAACATGGTGAGCCCCCATGGCCCTGGAGACACGGTGGTTAAGTGTTGGCTGCTAACCAGAAGGTCAGTGGTTCTAACACGCCAGCAGCTGCTCAGGAGAGAGATGAGGGCACCTGCTTGTGTAAAGATGACAGACTTGGAAACCCAGTGGGGCGCTTCTCCGTCCCACAGGGTGGCTGTGAGTCAGGATCGCCTTGACGGCAGTGCATGGGTGGGAGCGCAGGGGGTAGGGGGGAACCCAGGCATTGACAGCTCCAGGTCGGGCCCCCTGGCCATCGCTGTGCCCCGGGAAGTCACTGGAACCAGTGTGCATGGGGAGTTTGGGGCGCTCCTCATGGGCTCACCGTACCTCCTGCACCCCAGTTCACAAAGCTGAGTTCGGCCTTCATCAGGAAGGAGCCCTACGGCCTGGTGCTCATCGTTGCCCCCTGGAACTACCCCGTGAACCTGATGCTGGTGCCCCTGGTGGGCGCCCTCGCTGCAGGTGAGCAGAAGGTCCTGCAGCCTCAAAGAGCCGCAGACCTCTGCCCCCCGTCTCTGCTATCCAGGCCCATCCTGGATGGAGGTGGGGTACTCCCACTTCTGTCCGTCTGTACCCACAGGGAACTGCGTGGTGCTGAAGCCATCTGAGATAAGCAAGAACACAGAGAAGGTCCTGGCCGAGGTGCTGCCCCAATACCTGGACCAGGTGAGGGTGGCCCACCCCATTAGCTCCTGGCATCCCCACGTCCTGCCTTTGCCAGCATCCTACCTGAGCCTGTCCCCTACCTTCCTCCTGCAGGGCTGCTTCGCAGTGATGCTGGGTGGCCCTGAGGAGACGGGGCAGCTCCTGGAGAACAGGTTTGACTACATCTTTTTCACAGGTGAGGGGGCCCCCAAAGAGAGCTATAGGGGTGCAGGGAAAGGGGGCATGGAGGGACAACAGAGAACAGGGAAGCAAGGAGGCTGAGGAGGGAGGAGGACTGGCAGGGAAGGCAGGTGTGGCAGCCCAGGACACTGCAGGCCTGGGGAAGGGATGGGAATAAGAGGCAGGTACCTGGACTGTGGAGCGTGTGGCCAGCTGTTAGAGGACGGGGTTCTTCTCTGGTGTCTCCAGGGAGCCCCCGCGTGGGCAAGATCGTCATGGCCGCCGCAGCCAAGCACCTGACTCCCGTCACACTGGAGCTGGGGGGCAAGAACCCCTGCTACGTGGACGACGACTGTGACCCCCAGACCGTGGCCAACCGCGTGGTCTGGTTCCGCTACTTCAATGCCGGCCAGACCTGCGTGGCCCCCGACTACGTCCTGTGCAGCCGCGAGACACAGGAGCGGCTGCTGCCCGCCATGCAGAGCGCCATCACCCGCTTCTATGGCGACGACCCCAAGAGCTCCCCCAACCTGGGCCGCATCGTCGGGGAGAGGCAGTTCCAGCGGCTGCAGGGCCTGCTGGGCTGTGGGCGCGTGGCCATCGGCGGCCAGAGTGACGAGAGCGAGCGCTACATCGGTGAGTCCCGCTGGGGGCCCAGGGCTGCAGGGGACACAGACACATGGGGCCCAGGAG